GGAGAGGGGCCGCCTGGCCGAGTCCCCCGCTGGCTGTGCCGGGTCCCTGGGTGTCCCCCAAAAGCTAGGGACAAGGGGTGGGGTGAGGATCAGTGCACGGGTTAGTGCAAAGCCGAAATATTTTCGTTGCCTTATCCCTATTTAAGTAAAGATCCAAATGGGGATTTTACCCGTACTCGCCTGGGTTCTGGAGGATGGAACTAGAGCGAGCACAAAACTAATGGTGAATTTTGGGGGTGTCTCGATTTTTTGAGCCCAAGACCCAGCAGAAAGCTGAGCTCTGCTCTTGCTGGCGTTTCCCATTCACCCCCCGGTGGGAAGAGGCCCATTAAGGAATTTGGGAGAACAAGTTTTTGGGCTCTCCTTCCCAGCTGTCTGAGCCAGGCGCTGCCGGCAGGTTACACAGCAGTGACTCGGGGAGGGCAGAACTCCCATGCGGGCTGGAAACCACATTATCTCCTTCTTTCCAAGCTAAAAATACCTTCCAACAAAGCACCAAACCTCTCCGAAATAACCCATCTGAAGCAGCGGGATCCAGTTTCGGGCTCTCCGGAGGCCGCAGCGTGGCGGTAATTAGAGCGGTGCCGCCTGCGGTCCCGGGGGACGTGTCCTTCCTCGAAGCAGCGCTGGCAAGGAGATGAGCTTCAAGAAACCCGCTGTGCTGAAAGGGCTCAGCCGAGGGGGGCTGCAAATGAGAGCTTCCTTCGTGCCAGCGGTGGTCGTGCCCCAAAGGGGAAGGGAAGAGGCGGGCAGGAAGGTGCCCTCCATGGCCGCGAGCATCCTCGCTGGGAGGACCCACGGCCACCTCATGCCTGGCCACACGTCGCTCCTCGAGTTTATTCTGCTCTCTGCAACTGCAAAAAGCCTCCTGAAGGTGTTTTTTTTTTTAATCATTATTTTTCTTCCAAGGGAGAGAAAAAAAATAAAATAATTCGCTTCCCCCTCCTCTCTTTCCCTGAGTGTGTTTAATCGCTTGCAAGTTAGTCATATTCCTAAGAAAAGAAAACGTGGCGTGACGGTGAGCGGCAGCTCCTGAAGAACAGGCGCTAATTATATCCCAGCCCTGAAAAAAATAACACACTGGGCTGGCGGAGCGGGGAGGGAGCCCAGCTTGTGCGAGCGGCTGGGATTTCCAATGCCTTGCAGCACCGAGCAGCCGCTCTCCTGCCCCGCAGACCCTCCTCTCCTTCCTCCCCCGAGGGCCGAGGCTGCAGGCTGGGGGCAGCGCACCTGCAGAGAGCTCTGGGGTCTCCAAAAAGCCACCTGGAAAGGTTCGAGGGATGAAAGGCTTGGCAGCGAGCTCAGCAGGGCTGCCTCACCTGCATCCTCCCAGCACGTGGCACCTGCCCCTGGTCAGCACATTCACCGCCCTATTTCCAGTTAACCAGGCAGGCAGTCCCAACAGGCCCTGAGCCTTGGGGTGAAATCCGCTGAATTTCTCTCGATTTGTGGTGAGCGGGTGCTCCCGTCCCCTGGCTCGGTGCCCACAAGCACGCAGGGATGCTCCCCTGGACTGGGCTGGGTTTATTGCTCACAGATCATGGGGGGTGCTTTTGCCTGGGCTGGGTTTTGTTTTCTGAAAAAAAAAAAAAAAGAAAAAAAAAAAAGAGTGGATAAAAATATCCCCTGGTTCACTCGGCTGCACCTCTGGGAGACGCCGCCGGGCTCGGCTGTTTGAGGAAGCCGTTTGCCTCCCGTGCATTGCAAGAAAATAATAATAAAATAAATGGATGGAGAAAGCCCTGATGGGGATTTTTTCATCTTTCACCTGGCCGCTGGTGGTCCCTGGCCTCAGGGATTTGGGTCTGGGTTTAACCCCCGGGGTTCAGCGATGGTTTGGGTGCATCTCCCACTCTCCACAGGGCAGAGGACGAGGACCCGGCTGTCCCCTCTGGGGTCGTGGGGTTTGGGGTGCAGGGATGGGGCCACCCTAAAAGAAGGACCTGGGACAGACCCCACAAGGCAGACGGGGACCTGATCCCATCCCGAGGGAGCGAGGGTCGAGCTCTGGGAGCAGCTGCAATGGAGCAGCCCACAGGCATTTTGCTGGGCTGGGTTAAGGGGACACATCCTCATCAAGAAATAAACCCCCAAAATAATGGAAAGCTCCCCAAAATGAGCTCTCTGCAATACCTTGAGCGCTGCAGGCTCGGCTCTTCTGTCACCGTGCTTGCATCTCGTTTCTCCCAGCAGGATTTGGGATGGGGAAGGGATGCTCCTGCCAGAAACACGAGGGATGGGGAAGGGATGCTCCTGCCCGAAACCCGTGCCACGAGGCACTGCGGGGAGAGGGCTCGGGGTGTGAAACTGTGCCAGAGAGTTACGTGCGAGGGGAGCTCAGCCTGGAATCGCTCGTGGCTGGGTTTTCTCCGTCACACGAAGTGATTAGGGTAACGAAGGGATCCTCGCCCCGCCGCGCCGTCTCTATAGCAACCCCAGCCTGTTCCTGTGAACCAAGTGACTCATCAAACACAGCTACGGCGCGATCGGGGGCCAGGATCGTGACTTTGGCTCTTACAAGAGAGCTGACCTTTGTGGGGAGGGGAAAAATAAAAAATAAAAACAAAAAAATGAAGGGAAGAGGCGGAAAGGTGGATGGAAGGGGCAGCCCCCCACTGCAATCCCGTCCTGTCCCGTCCCATCCCATCCCATCCCATCCCATCCCATCCCATCTACTGTGCCACATCGGGTTGGTGTTCATTGGCCATTATCACGAATATTTACCCTAATATTTTTATAATTTATCTCCCCTGCAGGCTCACAGTTTCCTATAGCTAGTGGATCACAGCCAAGGCGAAGCAGTCACTGATGGGGCAGCCGGGCACAGCACCCGATACACCACGAGAGGTGAGGGAAATTAAGCAAAAGCCCTTTTTTTCTAGAAAAATGCCCCACGCTGACATGGCCTGTCCCCATACACACGCTGTGGGGGCCACGTCCCCATGTGCTGGCAGTGGGCTCCTGTCCCTGTGCATGCAGCAGTGGGGTCGTGTCCCCTTTTTGGGGTGCTGGGGTCATGTCCCTGGAGGTGCCGGTAAAAATGCCGGGCACTGGCACCTCAGTTATCATCCTCTACAAATGGAGGAGGGTAGAAATTGGGTGGTTTAGCTCACGGGTTTGTCCCTTGCTCGATGCCAGCCACTGTTTTTAATGGAAAAAGCACAACCCCTTAAGCCAGGATGTGCCCCCAGGTAGGGCTGTGGGTGTGATGTGCCCCCCAGGGGGATTTAGGGTGGTTTGGGGCTGCTGCAGGATGCTGTGGGGCTGGCACCCAGCCGCCCACGTGGGGCTGTGCTGGAGGGGCTGGAGGGATGGGGAGGTCCCAGGGAGATCCACGGGGTTTGGGGCGAGCTCAGCCCCGTTTGGGTGCGCATGGGGTGGGCGAGGGGACCGCTGCTCGGAGCAGAGGCCACTCGGGACCCCCGGGAGCCTCCCCAGTTTCCCCTTGTATGGTCTCAGCCTGACGGGGACCCCTTCAGCTCCTAACAGCAGTGGCTGGAGGCGGCCGAAGCCCCCGCTCCCCAGCGGAGTGTCACAGTGTCCCTGCACCCCGGCGGCTGCATGCCCGTGGCGGCACCGCGCTCGCTGCGCCGCGTAGCTCCAGCCCGCGAGATAGGGGGCTGAGAGCATCAGGTTATGAAACCAGCACCAGAGGGGGAGAAGTGGGGTCAGAGAGAGCCCACCCCAAAGACGCAGCTCCCTTTGGGAACGACAGAGCCCTTGGGAGATAACCGTGCCTTCGGGCTCTGCGTCTCGCCAGGCTGCTTGGCTCCCACGGGGAGCAGCTGCGGCACGCTGCCTCGCTCCCCGCTCGGCATCCCCACGTCCCTGGGCACCGGGTGGGGAAAAAACCCACTCGGCCTGGCCTCCCCTGGGGGCTGTGACCCCTGCAGGCCTCTACACCGAGCCCCGACCTTGGGGAGCCGCGTGGGGCACGCGGGAGGGGCGTGCGTGCGCGGGTGCGCGGCCCCTCGTGCCGGCGGGCGCGCGCGTGGCGGCGGAGCGGGGAGCCAGCCTCGTTGTTATTCTGCTCACAGCCGCTCTGATTCACAGGCTTGGATCATGAATGCAAGTGAAGACTTTGACGTCAGAGTTGAGATTTATCAGCAGATCCAATGGGGCAGGAATATTAAGTGCGAGGCGATGCCAGCTACCTACCAACGTTATTAGCGATGCTCGCCGAGGAATGAGGCTCAACACCGAGGGCTGGAAGGAGCGGGAGGGGGAAAAATAAAAACGGGGGCAAGCGAGCTGATCCTCCAGCCTTAGAGCCAGGTAAGGCGACAGCCCCGGGCTGGGATGGGAAGGGAAAGGGCGATGCTGGCGGGGGGCTGGCGGCGGGCAGAGCCCCCCAGGGCCAGGGGGGCTCCGCAGGGGCACGGTGGGCACCGAGCGGGGCAGGAGCCGGCGGTGGGGGCTGCAGGAACCTGGGGGGGGGGACGCCCTGCGGCGGCATCTTGCGAGGGAGGAGAAGGCAGGAGGGAAGGAGAAAGTTAACGCAGGCTGTCCCCAGCCGCTGCCTTCTCCTTTCATCAGCGGCGCCGCATTCCATGCGAGGGCTGGCCTATTAATAGCAGCGGCTTTTACTCGCCAAAAAAAAAAAAGGAAAGAAAAGAAAAGGGTGGGGGATGGGGGGCTTTGCGCTAAAAACGGGTGACAAAAAGGTGGCCGTGCCCTGGGGAGGGAGCGGTGGGGTGCTGAACCCCCCCACCCCACACACACACACAGGCACCCCGCAGAGTGGGGGGGACATGGGGATGGGGATGGGGATGGGGATGGAGACAGGGATGGGGATGGGGATGGGATGAAGACAAGGATAGAGACAGGGACGGGGACAGAGACGGGGACGGGGACAGGGACGGGGACGGGGATGGAGACAGGGATGGGGATGGGGATGGGGACGGTAATGGGGATGGGGATGGGGACGGGAATGGGGATGGGGATGGGGATGGGGATGGGGATGGGGATGGGGATGGGTGATGGGATGGGGATGGGGACGGGAAGGGGGGGGCAGAGGAGGGGATGGGCATGGGATGCGGAGCAGGGGACAGCGGGGGGGAGCCGAGAAGAAGCCCGGTGCCCCCCCGGGGAGGCTGCGGGAGGCTGCCTGGTGCCGGGCTCCGCTGCGGGGGGGCTCCACCGGAGCCGGTCCGTGCGCCCCCCGCGCTGACCGCCGGCCTGTCCCTCTCTCCCCAGCGATGCTGCACGGCCCCGGCGCCCTGGGGGGGCCGTGGCAGCCCCCGCAGCAGCAGCAGCAGCGGCTCCCGGGGCTCGGCACCGCCTCGGTGCCCAGCGCCTTGGCCCTCGGCGGCGGCGGCGGCGGCTGCGGGGGGGGGCCCGGTCCCGGCGACCCCGGGAGGCGGCGGAGGAGGAGGCGACGGCGACGGCGGCGGAGGAGGAGCAGGAGGAGGGGGGGCCCCGGCCGGGGGCGGCGTGGGGGGCCCGGTGAGCCCTTGGGACATCGCTCTGTGCGCCACGGGCACGGCGGTGGCGGCGGAGAACGCGCTGGTGCTGGCGGTGCTGTTCTACACGCCCAGCCTGCGGGCTCCCACCTTCGTGCTGATCGGCAGCCTGGCGCTGGCCGACCTGCTGGCCGGGCTGGGGCTGGTGGGCAACTTCGCCGTGCGCTACCTGCTGCGGCCCCCCAGCGAGGCGGCGGAGCTGGGGGCGGCGGGGCTGCTGCTGGCCGCCTTCTCCGCCTCGGTCTGCAGCCTGCTGGCCATCACGGTGGACCGCTACCTGTCCCTCTACAACGCGCTCACCTACCACAGCGAGCGCACCCTGGGCTTCACCTGCGCCACGGTGCTGCTGATGTGGGCCCTGTGCCTGGGCGTGGGGCTGCTGCCGCTGCTGGGCTGGAACTGCCTGCGGGAGCCCAGCGCCTGCAGCGTGCTGCGCCCCGTCACCAAGGACAACGCGGCCGTGCTGGCCGTGGCCTTCCTGCTGCTCTTCGCCCTGATGCTGCAGCTCTACCTGCAGATCTGCAAGATCGCCTTCCGGCACGCCCAGCAGATCGCCGTGCAGCACCAGTTCATCGCCACGGCGCAGGCCACCTCCACCCGCAAAGGGCTCTCCACGCTCTCGCTCATCCTCGGCACCTTCGCCCTGTGCTGGATCCCCCTGGCCATCTACTCGCTGGTGGCCGACTCCAGCTACCCCGCCGTCTACACCTACTCCCTGGCGCTGCCCGCCACCTGCAACTCCCTCATCAACCCCATCATCTACGCCTTCCGCAACCCCGACATCCAGAAGTCGCTCTGGCTGGCCTGCTGCGGCTGCGTCCCCTCCGCCTTCTCCTCCAGGCCAAGGACGTCCAGCGACGTGTGAGGAGCTCCCTCGCTCGCCTCTTCTTCCTCCTCCTCCTCCTTTCCCCCTCTGCCATCCGCGTTTCCCACCGGGAGGAGCCCCCCCCCTTGTCCCCCCAGCCCCGGCCTGCGCATCTCGCTCCATGGGCAGGTGGCCAGAAGGGAGAGAGGAAAAAAGGGGAAGGAAAAAAAAAAAAAAATAGAGGAAAAAAAAAATTAAAAAAAAAAAAAGGAGGAGGGAGGTGGAGAGTGGAGAAAGCAAAGAACGATAATGGTTTCCTTTAGAAATGTTATTTTCGTACACATTTTATTTTTGATTTAAAAACACAAAACACCAAAAAAAAAAAAAAAAAGAAGGAAAGAGGATCTCCGTACGATGGATGGCGTTTGTCTCGTCTCGGGTAAGGAGGCAGCGGGCTCGGTGGTCCCGCCGCCCCCCCGGGGCCACGAGTGGGGGACGGCTTTGGGAGCATGGGGGGGGCGAGCCCCATGTGTGTGGGGTGGGGGCGCCCCAAAATCAGGTGTTGCTCTGCTATGCAATAACGGGGGGGCTGCTCTGGCTGGGAAGGGGCAGCCCCAGAGAAGCACAGGGAGTTGGAGGGGGGGAGATGGGGCCGGGGGGGGGGCACGGTGCCTCCATGTGGTCTGCAAAGGACTTGTGGGGCCAAAGGCACTTTAGGGGTTGCCTCTATTTTGGGCTGCTGCAGGGCTGATGGCATTGGGGGCCACCCAGGGAACCCACCCCCCAAAAAAAGAAACAAAACAAAAAAAAAAGTGATTTTTGGCCCAGCTCCCCCCCGGGCTGGCTCCACTCTGCTTTGCACAGGGATGGGGGGTTGCATCCCAAAAGGATCGGGGCTTGCTCAGGTCCCATAGATGGCTGGGCAGAGAGCACGGAGCTGCCCGTGGGCACCAGCCGATCCGCTGGGGGCAGGACAGGATTTGTCCCATGCTATGGGGGGGTCACAGCCACCCGACAGCACCGTGTGTCTGTCCGGGTCCAGCCCCACAAAGCCAAGTGCGTGAAAAAGCAGCTGAGAGCGTCCAAAGCATGCACGGGGCTTGAACTTGTTTTCTACCTTTCAGAAGTGGCCACTCTCCTTTTTATTTTTCCTTTTTTTTTTTTTCTTCCTTTTTTTTTTTTTTTTCCCCCCCTCATTTCCTTTCTAAACACCTTGGGCAATGGGCAGGAGGTGCAATGTCGAATCAGTATGCATATAAAAGTTAATATATATATATTTATACAGAGTTATATATAAAAGAGTAACCTAGCTATATGTACACACCGTTCTCTGCTCCTTTCCTCTCCGCTGGTTTCTGTAACTGCAGCCGGGTCCCTGCAGCTCCTCAGTGTGAGCACCCAACGCAGAGTTAGTTTTAACCACTTTTGAAACATTGTGAATATTTTGGAAGTGTTTTTCTACACGCTGCTCTGGAAGGCAGCATCCGTTTCCCATTTTGTATTTCTGAGTGAGATGCAGCACGAGCCCATCAGCTCTGGGCACACCTCGGCATGCCCACAGTTGTGTTTTCTTGTGTATCCTACGCTCACTGGTGGAAACAGGGTAAGGTGAGAGGAGGAAAGAATAGGGTAAAAAGAAATAGGGTGAGGTGAGGAGGAAGGTGAAGGGGCCTGAGGTAACGCGGTGTGCACTGGGGTGTGGAAATCTCTGACCATTTCACTGCACCTTCCTTTCGGTGTTGTTATTTTATTTATTTTTTTATTTTTTTCCCCAAAGAACATCTTTCACTGGAGAAAGGTTTGAGTGGAGATGTTGGGCATCGGTGAGGGCACCGGGCTGCTCTGCTGGCTGTTGGGGCCCCCTTCTGTTGGCCGTCAGCACCAACCCTCCCAAGCCAGCAAAGCTGCACGTGGGGTGGGAAACGAGGCGGGCACCCTTCGGTGCTGGTTTTGGGGCACAGTCAGCACAGAAAAAACACAGAAATGTGGTACCCTAAGGATTTTGGTCCTGATATGACAGCCACAATTTGCTCATATCGAAAAAAAGGCGTTTTAGTTGAACCTGGCGTAACAGCCCCAGAAACCATTACTGTTCTTGGTGGGGGACAAAGTACCTCTTTCTTGTCGAAGCATCACATCTGGGGGGGGTGTCTCTAAAAATGATCTTGATAATCATTTGTATTGATGTGTACTGACCAGCATCAAGCGCTTGCTTCCTTGTCAACAACTAATCAGCAGCTACCTTTGATTGTCAGGAGTAATTGTTCGATGCACATGGTGTCCCCTTGCAACTCCTCTCATTCATGCTCGACTTTTTCTCGGGGCGAGGTGGCCGTGCTGCTGCTAACAGCTCCGTCTCTGCCATCTGCACCACTTCTGTTAAAAGTCCCATCGCTTTTTGCAAAATCACTGAGAGCTGCCCTGCCCCTGCCCTGGCCACCCGCAGACCTGAGCCTTCCCACTCCCGCTGGAAAACTTTGCAACACGGAGCATTGTGGAGATAAAGGAGATGTTCAGCAGGGCCGGCCCACATCACAACGGGTGGCCCACCACTCCTCTGCCCCTGGATTTGGGGGATGTGAATTTTGGGGGCTGTGAATGGGGGTTGTCCCCAGCTCCAAGTCCAGCAATGGCTTAGCAAAGCCAGGTCCCTCCGGCTGCACTTGCCAACCCATCGGCTTGGGCTACAAATGACTGTCATAAGGAAAAGGATCTTAAGGCCAGCCAAAAAAACGCTGTAGGATAAAGCACTGAAGAGGCTGAGGACAGAAGTAATCACCTTTGTAAACTCTGCTTGGTGTCAATTGTGTCTAAACCAAGGTTGTTCCTTTGCTGTTCCTTCCCCTCTCATCACATCTGCTTTCCCAGCAACGAGGACGCTTCAGAGCAATCAGGACAGCAAATTATTTTGATGTAACTGTTTTAACTTGACTGGGAGAGTTGATCTCAAAGGAAAATGTGCAGTTACCGTTCGGTCATGGTAAAGTCAAGCCCCTACGACGCACTTTATGAGCGAGTGAAAGCAAATCAATGCTGTTATTGCACTGTATCTCTATTGTGTATAATATTATACATTCATCTGTAAGAGTAATTTATTTTTCTTACTGTAAATAAAACTGTTAAAGTGGTTTGTCAAGAGGCTATCCAAAAACGGGGGGAGAGGGTGTTAAAATAAACACATTTGAAGACCTGGGCTCCTGGCCCAGGTATGTGCCAAACCGCGTGTGTCTGTGTCTTCATTTCAGCTGAACCCAGGCTACTACAGGTTTACGCTTTCTCTGACCTGGGCTCATGCAATTTGGGGCAGATTGGGTGGGTTTTGGGCAAAGGGCACCCCCAGGTCACGCATCCCTTTGGAGCCTTCAGCAAAGCCTCTGGGACGGAAGCTTTTCCAGCAGAAGGCCGTCCTCTGCCATCTAATTACCCAGGCGGTCAGGGATTACATACCCTTGGGAATTAATAGATCTTTGAGAGCTGGTTTCTCTAAAATAAGGGTTACAGAGATATCACAGCTCTGCGCCGCTTCCTCTGCCCCTGGCCTCTAATAGAAATCCGAGCATGACGGGGCCAATGACTCCTCCCGCAGCAAACAGGCTCGGCGAGCAGACAAGAAGCCAAAATGAAATAAATATACTTTAACCTCTTAAAATCTTTATTTTACTTTTTTTTTTTTTTTTTTTTTTTTTTTTTAATTAGCACATGCATAAAGTGTCAACGGTTCGGGATTATGTCATATGACGTTTTAACAAATGTAGTTACAAGCGGTGCTTCGGCTCTCCGCAGGCTTCCTCTCTCCGCTGTACAGAAGAAAGCTCGTCCCGCGACCAGCGTCGTCCCTACCTTTCCGTCCTAGTGTCACGACAGGCAGGACACCCACAACACCGGGGAGAAATACACTTGTTCACACGTAGCGACTGTGTACGGTAGATAGATACAAGCAGCAACATCTACTCACCTATTGACTAAGTGCACGTGGTTAAAAGACCCCATTAGACAGTGAACGACTCTTTCTTCTTTAATGTCAACTATATAATAATGGAAATCAGGTTATGGCCTGCAATGTGTGACCCTCCCGTGGGAGAGATGCCCGTCTCCCGTCAGCTGCTTCTATCAAGTGGTAAATTGAAGGAAAAGCTGGTGGTTTGTCTGCCGGTATTAAAAAAAAATGAGCCTTTTGGAGCATCAGGGCATCCCCGCCAGCTGATGAGCCCCCCCGATGCCAGGCACGAGGTGCCACCAGGACATTGTCCTTGTCCCTGACATGCCGCTGTGCCTTCCCCTTGGAGACACCCTGCCCTGAGCCTCTCCAGCAGGGTTGGGGAGGCAGAAATGCCCTTTGCCAGCCTTTCCCAGAGGTGCTCGTGCTCCTGCTGAAGGTGGTGGAAACCCATGGCTTCAGTCCTGCATCTGGGGGAGGAGGAGGAGGAGAAAGGCTCCCCAGCATACACCCTGGGACAAACCCACCAGCAGGAGCATGTCTTGCAGCAAAGCAGGGATTCTTTTTTACGTCCTTCCCGCAGCCCTGCTGTGTGCTTTTGGGGTCTGTCCCCTGCCCAAGGTGTTGTTTTTGCCCCCAGAGATGTGTGGTTGCCAGAGCGGGTATCCCTTAGGTTGGCCAAGATCAGAGTAAAAACTGATGCAAGAACTGCCCTGGGATAAAATCTCAGGTGCAGGGAAGGAGGAATCCTGGTGGACAGCTCAGGGTTTTGTCCAGGTTTTCGCCTGGGCGAGGGCAGGCTGAGCATCACAAACACACACCAGTGCCCAGAAATGCTCTGCCCCTTCCCCCTGGCAGGGGACGGGCACGCTCACCGCCGGACTTCCACCACCCACTGCTCCAAACCCCCAGGAGCTCCTTGGAAATGCAGTGGGGATCTCCAGAAAAGGCACTTGTGTCAACGATAATCCCACCCCGCTGCCTGCCAGCTTCCCCTCCTGCAAGCCCCGTGTTTGACCTGGAGCAGGATCCGCGCTGCGGCACCGACCCAAATTCACACCAGAGGGCTTCTGCTTCAGGATCCCCCAGGCAAGCCCCCAAAAGGGAGTCTATTAAAACAAGGAGCCATCAACCCCAAAACAGCCCTAAAAATGCTGTTTCAGAGCAAAAGGTTTCTTTTTGGTGGGGATTTTCTTTCTTTGTCCTAAACTGCTCTGATCTGCGAAGAAAGGCACCACAAAGGCCCCGTTTGTGGGAAACTGGACAGAGCTGAATGCAGAGCTGGAGCTTCTCAGGGTAAAACCAGCTTGGTGGTTCTGGGATCAAGGCTCATACCAGGATGGCTTTTGGGAGGCCAGCAGTGGCACCTCTCCTCCTCCAGAGCACCTCTAGAGGAAGCAACAGTCCCTCCACGTGCATCACGGTAACTTCACTGGTAACTCAAATCCCACTTTATTCCTAATGCAGGAATTGTATGGTTAGTTTTTCCATGGCAAGTGACTTTCTGCTGAGGAAGTATTCCCAGCTGAGGCATCAGGCATACACAAACACCCGAAATGGGTGAAAATTCATGGGATTTGAAGCACCTGAGCTGAGGTGGGGCCTTCAGGGATAAAAGACCTTCCTACAAGGGCAGGAGACCCTGCTGAAGTAGGACTTTGTGTGCTTTTTGTTTTGTTCTTGTGAATTGGTTTCTTATAAACTCAATTTTGGAAGTGTTATGGTGATAACTGCTCTGTGTTTTTTTTTTTTTTTTTTTTTTTTTTTTTTTTTTTTGTAGGCTAGCTGGAAAATAACATGGGCTCTGATTTTTCTCTTGCTTCTCTAGCAGAAGAAGGCAGAATGGATTTTTTTTCTCCTGGCAATCAGTGTAAGTTTTTTTTCCCTTGGTTTTATTTTTGTGGGGGGTTTATTTATTTTTAGATCCCACACCTGAGCTATCCCAAATCCATGGGTAACTTTTAAGGTGCTGGCCTTATGGTGCCAGTGTTGCATACACACTGCAGTCTGTGGACATCAGTGGTGCCAGCTGCGTGTCCTGGTTTTCTGCTGTTAGTTCACATCTTAAAGTTCACATCTTAATCTAGTATGCTTAATCTTTATTATATTTGAGGGTCAAAAAAAAAAAAAAATTGCAAAGGGGCAACAAAGCTGGGGGGATGTACCCAGGTTGCTAGGGTGGCTCTGCAGGTTGTGGTGCTACAAGCCTGAAGAAGGGGATGAGGCAGAACCGCAGACCCACCAGGATGGATGAGGTGCTCCACAGGCACCTCCACGCCACTCCCCTGGCCCCAAACAGGCTCAGGGCTTGTGCCCCTCTCTCTGGTGTCCATCTACCTACTTCTCAAAGACCTCCTGTGGCAGAAACCTGTCTGAGTCCCTCCATCCTCACCTTCCCTGAGATGTGATTTAACTTTGCTGCCACAGCTCAGGCCCAGGCCTTGTTTCAGTCTGACAGTGGCATGGGGACCAGGCTGCTCTCCCTGCTGCCCTTCCTTTTACCTACCTGAGATATTCTTGCACAGAGTGGTGGGAGTACAACCAGCCTCCCAAAAATGACATGCTGATTTCCTTCCCTTTCCTCTACCATTTCAGTGCCTTCAGCTCTGTGGTAATTCTAGCATGGAGCCAGTCCCCCAGGGCTGACATGGTCCCTTGACATTGTCACCACAGCTGAGGAGTGCAGGGCTCACTTCCCACCACATGGGCTCACAAGACCCCGGACACAACAGGCAACAGCAGACTTAAGAGTGTCCTGCTAAAAGCACAAGGCTATCGAGGGAGCTCTGTGAGGAGAGATGTCCCTGGGGGAAGGGGAAGATGGCTGGTCTGCCATTGTGTGGTGTTATGGAGGGCTCTGTGGCCTCAGAGCCCCTGTCTCAGCATGGGACAGAGATTAAGATTGATAATGTCACATCAATGTGTCCTTCAAGGGACACCATAGCCAAGTGTGTCCCATCTGGGAAGAGCCTAAGGGCATCCTGCAGTGTGAGCCTGTCCCTTGCTGCAGGCCCTGCCTTGGCCTGGTGCCACCACCAGGATGGTCCCCAGCCAAGGGACCTCCTGCTGCCCCTTCTGAGGGCAGGGAACTGAAAGCTTTGGGGAAATCCCCCCTCTGAAGCATGTCTTTTCCCCATCTTCCCAGTAAGATGCAAGCACAACTCTCACCTGGAGAAAGTGAAGCCTATGTGAGTGAGCCTGGGGTCTGTTAAAAGATGGGATTCACTAAAAAAATCCCTTCTGGTTCTCAAAGACTGAAGCATTTCAAAGCCTAGGCTTAGGTATAAACCCCTGAAGGAGGGCATCACATGGACTGCATGGGCATACCAGAGGAGCACAGCCCCACGTGGCATGGGGGGAGGCTGGAAAAGGCACCCCCAAGGGAACGGCCACCTATATGCGGGCAAAACACGCTGGTTTTGTCACTCCCATGCTTTGCTCAGGCACTTCTGTGGGGGGATGGCGGGGAGATGGGAGAGCCTTGCTGATGGCAGGGGGATGTGGTTGTGGTACTGGTTGTGGGGTCACCAAGGGAAGGGACAACGGTCCTCGAGGTGCTGCTGCCCGGTCGGGAGGGTAAATTCATGGGTATGAGAGCAATTGTACAATTGTGGCTTCTAAAGTGCAGTGCAGGTCATATGGTCTTTGCTGTAAACTGTAAGCTCCTCAGGACAGAGTTCTTGTCCTTTGTTTTTTTTTTTTTTTTTTGTTATTCTGTAAAGTGACATGCCAGTCTAGAAAACTTTACCCCTAAGTAACTACTACTAGAGAAAAAACAGGAATGATAAAAAACAAAACCCCCAAAACCAGCCTAAGCTCCCCTTGCCAGCATCCTGTGCTGGAGGATGTTCAACGAGCGGATGGGGAGAGCTGCCCTCCGTGCTCCATCCCCAGGGACATAGTGTGGGGACTCCTGCTGGCCACACACCTCTGGAAAGCACCCTCCAAAACAAAACAGCACCTCTGCTGCTGCAAAGCCTGTCTCCCTCTGTGTGAAACCTCCTTTTGTCATTAAAGGAAAGGTGTTGATGCTCTGCTCCCAGAGGAGCCTGCAAGCTTCTGTTTCAGCTGTCAGGGCCTTGAAAAGGATGTACAGGTGGAAAAATTAGTGGGAGGAAATCTGAGGGCTCTTATCTGGAGGGAGCTCCCTGGAGAAGCTGTGCTCAGTCTTGTTTTGCCCAGGAAGTCTTCATCCTGGTGGCAAGCATAAGTGCAAAATCAGGAGCCCCCATAGGCAATGATGCTCGCTCCTCCCCAGGTCTCTGCCTAGGGTGGCAAACTAGAAACCACCTTTTGATTCCTTCAGGACACTTATCCTCTAAGCTGCCAGCACCAACAGCAAGCCCAAAGCTCACCTGAGATCAAGGAGAAGCTGGGATGTGACCACTACCAAACCTCCGCTGACCTTCACGAGACTTCAGCTAGACCAGACTTCAGAGCTGACACAGCCCTCACAGACAGCGTACCACGGGCACCGCAGTCTCCAAAATGTCCCTCATCAGGTAAACCTGAGGTGCCTGAGAGGTTCCTGATGGACCTCGGGGACTAGAGTCTTCTGCTAATATCTCTAAGCAGACTCAAACCAGCTTATTTATTCTTTGGTTGACTCAAGCCTAATTCATTTGTATGCGCACCGAATACACTTCCCCCTGTTGGCAGCCTTTTATTTATTATTTTTAATCTGTGCCCATAAATTGGCAAGGAGGAGAAGGCAGATAAAATGGCAAGGGGAGCTCTCAGGAGATCGGTTGGGCTCATTAAATGTTTGGCACTCTGTGATTATCTGCTGGCAACGAAACGTCACTGCCGTATTTTTGCAGGGAATGCGATCCCTTAATGTACAGGAGGATCTCCTCAGCCCACTTCGGGTACACTTGAGAGAGAGGAGCAATTCAATCATCCGTGACCTGGATTGTATTTTTTAATGGCTGCCAAGTTAGATAAAAATATTTAAATATTCACTTTTATATCAGCCCACATGGGGATTTGAGCATTTCAGGTTGTATAATGCGGCATGGCCTACTTTTGGAGGAGTATACAGAAATAGGCACATATGTACAAAACACGGAGTGTGCAGCATGTGGGTCAGCCAGCCAGAGTTAATTAGCACGGCACAACCACCTCCAGCAGAGCCAGCCTGGCCCACACCACCCAAAGAGCTCGTGTTGGGTTTCAGAGGTGACCTGGTCGAAATTAGGTGAGTGTGCCTAAAATGAAGGTGGTCATCCTCAAAGGTGCCTGAGCGTGTCGAGGCACCGCAGAGGCTGCTCTGCCAGCAGAGCTGGCCTTGTGGGAGTGGGAATGGGGCTCTCAGTGCCACCACGTGCTGCTCATCTGCCCTGTAATGCTGCCAGGAGAGCTGGGGAGAGCACGTGTGCTATGGTCAGGCCAGAAATGGGTGTCCACAGCCTGTACTGGTCACCTCTTCACCAACTACATGAGAACCCAGAGCAACGAGCTGCAATGAGGACATCTATCTGGGAAGGTCACCCGTGGTATCTGCCTGTTTGGGGTATCAAGACAGCTGCAGTGCAGCCAAGGCCTGGGAAGAGCTGGATTAGGGTGACTGCAAGCAGAGGGTACTGCTGGCCCCCTGTGTGAAAGGGGATGGTCACTAGGGGCTGCGAGCTTCCTTGGGCAGAGTGTGAAGGGTGAGGATGTGCTGGGACACCCAGGAATGGGGTAAGAATGTAAAGCTGTGAGAAATGAGGGCGAGCCCTGCTCTCTGCCACCGTGAGGCTGCTCCACCAACACAACCCATGCAGGGCAAGCAAGGCTTCAGTGTGTGATTGTCGAGTGCTTTGCCATGCGATGGCACTGACCCTAATAACAGCACGGGGATGATGGCTCCAGCCCCCAGCACCACGGGGTTGCTAGGAGGTGGTGGGTCCGGATTGTCCCTGCAAACTCCTGCTGCTGTTGGGGGCTACCACAGCAAGTCCCTCTGGAGTTATGGCATGGCTGTTGTGCCAGAGCACAGCCAGGGCCTGGGGAAAGACCTGGCCTTGTGGGGGCACCCAGCTCCTCTCCAGTCCCCACCACAACAGCTCTGCTCCCCAGAACGGGGATGCCCACAGACCCGAGGGATGAGCCAGCCCCACATGTCCCCAAAGCCCTTCCCTGTCCCCGTGTGACAACAAGATGTCCTGGCAGCATCCCAGCCCTGCACGGGGTCCCCACGAGCACCCCAATGGCTCAGGGCAGCCCCTTGCTGTTCCCTCCAGGGGAATTCATCTGGTGCTGAATTACCCCAATAACCATTCTCCTTGTACATGCAAACAGCACAGTGCTTGCCTCAGTATTAACACTTCCACAGTAAGTACTGATAGCTGGCTGCTTAAATGTTACTCTGGATTGTTTTTTTGTTCTTTTTTTTTAAACAAGGCTTCCTTCTGATCTCTCTCCAGGTCACATCCCAGCTGCTCTGCAAAGGGACCCCCGCTGTGACATGGTGGTGGGTCCAGTGGGATGGGCACCGGGACCAGGCCAAAACCCCAAGGGCTTTCTGTGCAGCTCCTCCAGCCGTGCTAATGCCAAGGGGCATTTCCCTGAAGGAAATGGGGAAGCAAATGCAGGTCTGTGGCCCGTCACAGGGCAGAAATGGGTGCAGAACAACTGCTAACACCAACAGACTTCGCTTCCAACCTTAAATCCTTCCCCAGACACTCTGGCCCTCTCCTGCACCAGGCCCAAGCCCTGCTCAGCACTGCGTTGATGCCCGTGGGGCCAGCCCCTGTGGCCAAATTTGTGGTGGTGGGGGGAGAGGAGCCTGCTGTGCTGCTGGAGTCCCATCTGGGGGAGTCAGTGGGGTGCAGAGAAATGGGAAGCGTTGCATTAAACAAAACAGATAGGCTATTTTGTGTCGCTCAGCACAGGCAAGGGTTCACGGTGATGTTTCTTAGCAGCTAAGCTGGGGGCTATGCTCATTGTGTCTCACCACAGAGGGTCTCTCTTTTTCTCCTGAGGAGAAATGAGCACATAGTCAGGGCGTCCTTCAAGACCAGCAGTTCTCAGGGCAGATATAAGGAAGCATCAGCCTCCCTGAGCCTTTTGGGTCCCAGCCAAATCCTCCCATCTGCTTTACAGGTCGATTCACTCCCAGGGACTGGGAACATTACCGATGTGCTCACCTACCCAGCTGCTGGGGAGGTGGGCACAAAGTCCCCAGAAGTGATGCAATGGGTAGGATGCAGGTTTCTCCCCCATTTTGGGGCTCACAGTATATGGGAATGCAGAGAGGGCCAGGTGGCTGTGTCAGATGGCTCCGCGCCTGTTCCTGGCCCTGTTCTCTGCTGGTGGGGAGCCTCTTCCAGCCCTCTGCAGATCCTCACCCCTGGCTGCGATATTTTCAGTATTTCACACCCATTTGTTCTGCGCCCCCAGCCCCGCGAATCCTCCCTTAATAGCTGCGTGAAAAGGCAGCTATGAATCATGCTCTATTTTGATGAGCAAACTGGTATTTTTGGCACGGTGGCGGGGCCCCGTTCCTGCACTCCCCACCGGCGCCGTGCTTTGGGGACGAGGAGCAGGCGGCATCAGGCCAGTGCCCCGGGACGGGATTGTCCTTGACTGTACTAGTGGCATTAGTGGGGCTACAAAGTGCAAATCGAGAGAGCGAGACCGAGCGTCGCTCTGTTTTAGTGGTTTGGGTTTACCTAAGAGCAGCATTTTTTCTTTTTTTTTTTTTTTTTTTTCGTCAGATAAAACTGCAGTGCTTTAGCAGTCAGGCCAAGGGTTGCAGGGCTTTTGGGCCATGGCCCCCAGCCCCTTGCCCCCAGGACACGTGTGTGCCAGCTGCACGAGCCTTGCCTTCATGCTTTTCTCCCAAAAATCTGGTCCCGAGGATGGGAACGGGCTCAGAGGTTGCGAACACCTCGGTCTCCCCGTTACGCGTTTAACATCTAGCTGCAAAAGCCCTACTGCCTCGTGGTGTCGTTTCCCTAACAAAGCCACCCTGTGGCCGTGCATTACCGGTGCCAGAGCATTTCCAGCATCATTAAACGCGGAGGTGCTGCTAATTCCTGGCCTCACCGCCCCGGAGGCGCGTCCTACCCGTGCACAGCCTCCAGCGCTGCCCGACATGGTTTTCGACATGGTGTAAAAAGCAAAAGCTCCTGAATTAGCGGGGCTGATGGCGGGTGTGGGCACCCAGGTACGCACCTGGAGCGGAGCAGCTCCCCGCCAGCCCGGTCCCGGCCCCCTCAGTCTGACCACTCGTTATCGTCCAGCTCCGAGTCGTCGTCCGACTCGCTGTACTCCACCGCGATCCGGCGGGACAGGATGGTGGCCACGTCATTGCCCACGGGCTCTTTCTTGGCCTCTTGCTCCCATTGCTCCTGGACTTTCCGCAGCTGGATCCCTGCGTTAGGAAAGGAAGGGCTTTAGGGGCAGCATCACCCATAAAGACGTGTGACCACCCCCAGTTACATGCGCTGGCTGGAAGGGGGGCAGTTGTGCATGATCACTAAGCTATAGCCGTCCTCCTTGGCTTCCACCCAACCTTGAGGGTGTTGGAGCTTCCTGGGGGCCAAATCTTCCGTTCAACCTGAAGATTTGCACTGAGCAGGAAGGAGGAATGGGAACGACCCTGGAGAATTGCATCAGCTGCAGTCTGAAAGGAGGCCGGGGGCCCAGGAGTGCTGCCGTGGTGCCCCAGGTCACCTCCAGAGATGGGTCCCACCTCCGTGGCAGTGATGCTCCAAGTCAAAGAGTCATCACAGGAAGGGTTTGGGTTGGAAGGGACCTTAAAACCCATCTAATTCCAGCCGCCTGCCATGGGCAAGGGACCCCTCCCACCAGCCCAGGCTGCCCCCAGCCCCATCCAGCCTGGCCTTGGGCACTGCCAGGGACGGGGCACCCACAGCCAAAGCATTTCTTCCCTGTATCTCCTCTAATCCTACCTCTCTTTGGTTTTAAGCCATCACCCCTTATTCTATCCCCACACCCCCCAAAAAAAAGAGTCCCTTCCCAGCTGTCCCATAGCCCCCTTCTGTACCAGAGCCTCCCACCCCGCCTCACCCCTGCGGATGGCTGCCAGCAGGTCGCTCCGGGCGTCGCTCATGGGCATCAGCGGGATGGCCGGCTTCCGCGGCTCGGCGGCGGGGGCCGGCGGTGACACTGAGTGCGCTGGCGAGGCAGCGAGCGCGGGGGGCCCCGGTGGTGGTGGTGGCGGGGCCACGGGGGGGCCCATGGGGCCGGCCTGCGGCGGGGAAGCAGAGTAGGGGCCGGGCGGCGCGGGGGGCGGCGGCGAGGGCGCGTAGGACGGGGGGGCGGCCGCGCCGGGGGGCAGCGCTGCGGGGGCCGCCATGGGGCTGTCGAAGGCGGTCTGCGCCGAGGGGATGACGGGCGGTGGGGGCGGCGGGGCGGGCGGCACGAAGTACTCCGCCATCGGCACCGGTTGCGGGCTGCGAGGGAGGAAGAGGCGTCAGCAACGCGAGGAACGACGCCGGACGCCCCTCTTCGCCCCAAACCCTAGGGACTTACCCAAAATCCTTGACCAAGTGCGGCCTCGGCCCGTTCAGCACGGCCTCGGGGGGCTGCGGCGCGTGGGGCGCCTGGGCACGGTTGAGGCTGTTCTGGCGGCTGCCCGCCGGCGGGCGGTAGACGTGCTCCTGGGGGGGCACGGCCGCCAGGACCCCCTCCTTGTGCTCGGCCGGCAGGTGGGCGGCGGGGGCCAGCAGCTGCGCCGGGTGGTTGGGGCTCGCCGGGTACGAGTGGTCGGCGGCGTCCGAGGCGTAGGACCTACGGCGAGGGGAAAAGCCAAGGGTCGTACGGGCGGGAGGGGTCGGGATGGGCAAGGAGGGCGTTTTGGGGATGTTGGGGGGTTGAGGAAAGCAGACAGAAAGCAGGGACGGACAAGGAGGCAGGGAGGGGAAGGAGGGGGATGCAACGGAGCTGGACCAGTCTCCTCCCTTGGCTCCTAGAGCTCTCTGACTTTATCCCAACACCAAGGTCCAGGATGCGACCCCGCTGGGCACGGGGATAGGTGCCGTGCCTGAAGCTACAAGGGCACGGGCTCATCACCCCCTCCTTGCCCCCAAACCCTTCCTGCTGCGGGCGGTGCCTTCCCCCATGGACAGAGGACAAGCAGAAGTGCGTTCCCCCAAGGACAAAGAAGAAGACAACCAGAAATGCCGAAAAGCAAAGGAAACCCAGCGAGCTGAAGGCGTAATAGGTAAAACCTGCCTATTGTCTGGGGACAGTGATCCTTCCGATGACGCCATGTGATATGGGGATGGTGAGAACCTGTTATCGGGCCGAAACTCTTTATCGTATGCCATCATGTTCCACTCCAGGCGCCGGTTGCGGGCTTTCCGCACTTTCTTCACCTCCCGGGTGGAGTCCTCCACCAGCCGCTGCTCCTGGGGGCACACGAGCCACAGATCCACCTCCACCCCACGTCCTGCAGCCTTGGGTGACGCCTGGGGGGGCATCGCCCCGCTGCACCCAGCGCGGTGCCCTCCCTGCGCCCGCTACCTTCTGCCTGCGCTTCTCCTTCCTCTTGTCCTCTGTCGCCTGCAGCATCTTCTCCTTCCACAGGTTGAAGAAGTAAGAGGGGTCGGTGTAGAACTTGAGGCCGTCCTTCTTGTCATCCCTGGGGGGAAAAGAAGGGGCTGTTAGGCACGGGGGAGGGAATCCCAAAAACATTTCAGTGCTAGCAATGGCAGTGCATGGATGGAGATGCCCCCCGCAGCCCTGCCCACCATCACCAGTTCCACCAGCATCCCCTGGTCCCTACCCTGTCCCACCTCATGCCCCTTTTGGGGCTTTCCACACAGGTTTTCCACGTAGCCCAAGGGCTTCACTGCGAGCAGGGACAGTGGGGCAGCTGCCTTGGGCATTCGTTCCCCCAAATGAGACCCCATCATTCTTCTGGAGAAGACCCCTTTCCCCCATAGGGAAGTTTGGCATGATCACAGCTGTAAGCTGGTGGACCTCCATGAGCACGTCCAACACGGAGCTGTGATTACCTGCGCTGTGGTTACCTCACCACATCAGGATCCTGCGGACATGGCACTAAGGGACATGATTAATGGTGGGATTTGGGAGGTCAGGTTCACAGAACCACAGCATGAGTGAGGTTGGACGGGACCGCTGGGCCCACCTGGTCCAAGCCCTGCTCCAGCAGGGCCATGCAGAGCGGGTTGCCCAGGACCATGTCCCAACGCTTTTGAAGACTTCCAATGAAGTCCACAACCTCTCTAGGCACCACAACTGAAAACAGGCATCGCAAATCGGCACCAGGGCTATAGCACATGCGAGACTGATGGTTGGACTAGATGACATCAAAGGTCCTTCCCAACCTAGGTGATTCTGTGGTGTGGGGCCACCCGTTCCAGGTGCCCTGTGGTGGCACAGCCAGGGGGAAAACAGCACTTCCAGCCCTCACCAAGCAGCAAAGTGGCTGCACACCCTGGCACCTCTCCTGGAAGGGTCCCCACGGGTTCCCCACACTCTGAGGAGCGTCGGAGGGGCTGCCCCACCTGTACGGCGTCAGGATGTTGAGCGGTGGGGGCTTGTCGCAGCGCTGGTACATCTCCATCACCGGGTTGGGGATGGAGTTGCGAGAAACCACCTGCTGGTTCTGCACCGTGGAGCTCTTGAACGCCTTCCGCATGTTGATGTCCTGCAGAGAAACTGGGGGCACGGGGCGGGGAGGGGATGGATGTGGGGTGGCCTCGCACCCGGCACCAGGCACGTGCCTCCCAGCCCCAAAACCACCCGGGGCATGGTGCTACCCGCCCCGTGGTCCTCACCTTCCTCCACGGTGGAGTCCAGCTGCGTCACCTTGATGACCAGCAGGTCCACCCGCTCCTGCAGCGAGTTCATCCGCATGTAGAAGCTGTTGGCCTCATTGAACAGCTCCCCAAAGATGTCCTCAGCGTGCCGGCCTGCCGGGGGGGCACATGAGCTGTGACCTGGCACTGCGTTACCCATGGGGACACCAAATCCTCCCCACACTTTTTTTGCATGCCAGCAGCTCCCTAAGTACATCGTTCCTCTTTCTGGGCATATTTTAGAAAGTTATCTAATTCTGGAGGGGCGAAAAAGGCACTAGAGGGAGAGCCTGTGCCACTCTTTCTATTTTAATTCAATATTCAGGAGCAAAATAGGTTTCCCCTATTACATGTCCCCGCTCGCATCTGCAGTGCTCTCGTCCTTCCCGTTGCTGCAGGAATCAGAGATGGGGCAGGAGGGCAGGTGGAGACTTGGACCTTTTATACAGAGCTATCTTTCACCTGGAGTGTTCAAGTGGCTCCAGGAGTGCTCTGCATTAAAAGAAGAGGGTTTTAAAAACCTGAATAAGCAGCCCGACTGTCCTATTTCCAGACAAGTCAAGAAATGAGGGGTACTCAAAGAGAGCAGCGATGGGAGGGAAGCGGGTCTTAAAACACCCTCACGTCCTCCCTTTGGACCTGAGCATCCTCCTTTCTTTACTCTCTGGACAATTCCCACCCAGTCAGGGGCTCTTTGACCAGTATCAAACTGGGACGAGCGACCACAGCATCCCGGCACCCTGGCCGTCCCCAGCCCCGGTGCGGGGTGGCAGCAGCCCCTAGGGGGATGTCCCCAGGAGATGCTGAGCTGTGACTTACTGAGGCTGCCCAGCTGCTTGATGATGGCAGCCAGCGTGCTGTTGGTGACACACTCCAGCTCGCTCGTCACCCCCTCGGGCAGAGCCCCCCGGCACAGGTGCCGGGGCTCGATGTTCCTCTTCACCAGCGGCATGCTGCCGGCGAGCACTCACACTCTCCTGGGCGAGGAAAAAAAGAGGAAGAAACGACCCCAAAACAGCTTTTTCCATTTGCATTCCCTCCCTTCTCTCCCCTTTCTCCCCAGGGGACTTATCTGGGACACGGCGGTGACGGAGCTGGGCTCAGAGCAGAAGCAAACCCCCACGTGCTGCAGCCCCTGTGACGGCCCCACAACACCCTGACCCAAAGCGGAGCGAGCGAGCGCCTGTAATTCCATCATTTCCAGCTGACTGCAAAGCTCCCCGAGGTTTTCTTTTTATCTGTGCTCACACCACGCCGACCAGGCCACCGTGTCCTGCCCTGCTCCCCCCCCTGCAGCATCCCTGCGTGCCCCCGTGCGCTGCCAGCCCCACGTTAGCCATCCCCGTGCATCCTGGGACCCCCCCATCTCCATCAACATCCCGTAAAACGCTTTGGCAGCGGAGGGAGAAGCTTCCCAGCAGCGATGCTAACAGCTGGGAGCGGGGCAGCCAGGCATCGACGCGGTAATGCCGACCACGGCAGGAGCCAGAAATGTGCCGAGCTCGCATTTTTTGGCCCCGGCGGCGCTGCGCAGAACAGTTTCCCATTGATAGTGCCCGGCCGGGCTCCCCAGCTCGGCGGGATTTTTCTAATGCAAATGCAAGCTGCCCCGACCAAACAGCACAAAACTTGTGTCGAAATCATTAATACCGAGCTTCCGAAAGGGCCGATTGTGCTCCTGCAGCACAATGGCAGATGCTATTCTGCCTGCCGAGCTTATTCCCTCCGGCGCTTCCCAAAGCGAGGGAGAAAGCTGTTAATGAGCCGCTTGTGCCCAGCGATGGGAAAGGGGAAAGGGGGAGCCTTGAGCACAGGTGGAATGAGGCCAAGACTAACTCGTTATTTCTTCTACGTGTCCAGTGTGGGCTGAAAACCAGACCCCACCGCTCCGCGAAGCGCTGCAGGTGGCCACGGGTGCACCAGCACCACCAGCCAGGCAGAGCCACCCCCCGGTGACACTGAACCTGGGCAGCTGCAGGCCGTGAAGGGCCACATTGCCATCCTCAGGTGGGCGCTGCCAGCCCATAATCGTCCTCAGCAGCCTCACCTGGGGCTCACCACACCCCCGGGGCAGGTTATTTAAGGTTGGCCAAGGGCTATGGGTGCTCCCTGAGTGCTGCTGTGGCTGTGCCCTGGTGGATCTCGGTGCTGTAAGTAGCTCCTGCCGTGGGGACAGACAGAAAAAGGCCACAGGGGGGCTGCTCCTGGGCCACCGATCCTTCAGCTTGGGGGTGCTGGGGGCTTACATGTGTGATGAGTGGGGCGGTCTCAGCCCCAATCCTTTGGGGCAGCGAGGACCAGCTGCAGCTGGCACAGGAACCATAGGGCTGAGCTGTGCCCACCAGCCCCTGCTGAGCCCGTCTCTAACAAACTCATTTCCCATTTTTACAGCCAGGGGAAGGGTCAGGCCCTCCTGCCAAGCGGAGGAGAAGCCGGCTGCCTGGCCAGATCTGCATGGGCTGCCCCGAGCCCCAGCACATCCCACCGGGAGCACCGCCTGCGCCTCTCCCCCAGCCCTCTGCCTCCGCCAGGAGGCTTCACAAGCGAGCGCTTTGCTGTGAAGTGCGACATAACACGGCTAAAAATATTCCTGAAGAGTTTTATTAGTAAATGCCACAGTGGTTTTTTTTTTTTTTCTTTTCCTCCCCCTTCTGCTGCAAAGCGCTCCAGCTCGAGGAACGGCACTTGGCTAAATTGCCTCTAAATCACAAACCCCTCGCGAGGCCGGGCTCTGCAGTGCAAACCTTAGCCAAAAAGCCTCCTTAGGAGGATGCTGTAAATGCGCCTGCCTCCTTACCTTGTGGTTGGAATAAAGGGCTGGTCCTGCTGCTTTGAAACAAGCAGGCTCCATGTTTTTACCTAAACTGTCTCTTTACAGCCATGCCACCAGCACATGCCAGAAAGTAATTGGCAAGGAGGTTTTCACAGAGATGATTTCCTTGGTTTTTAGCTGATGTGGGCTTTCTGGATCTATGCTAAAATAATGGGTACCCTAACAGCAAATAGGAGAGGAAAAGGAGTGGGTGAAGCTACGTGGGAGCCTCCTCTGTCACTCTCCATGGTCTGCAGGAGGGCTGGGGATGGGGCAGGGGAAGGGCAGCACCGACCCCGTGTGCTTTTTGGCTGGAAAAATCCCGGCTGGCCCGGGAATCACGCCTCGTTTTTAATGATTCCCCATCACCAAAGGAAAATCTTTCAATGCCATTTCTCCCTTTCTGTGCCCAGCTCATTAAAGGAAGGCTGGCTCTCTCCCTCTCACGCCGGCAGGCTGTGTGAACGGGACGCTCGCTGCTCAACAAACCAGCCTTTTTCTCCCCGAAATAGAAGGCGCTTTGATAAACGTGGGGCAGCCTCAGCGAGCAGCAGGGGGCTTTCTGGGCACCGGGTGCTCGCTGCTTGGGAACAGCCGTGCTCCAGCCGGCAAAATTGAGTTGCCCTGCAATAGATGGGCAGCTCTGCAAAAAGCATTCCGGCTTTTTTTTTTGTTGTTGTTATTTTTTTTTTCCTCCTTTTGGCTCGAGGGCTGTTGCTTGTTACTTGTCAAGAGCTTGGCATCCCCGGCTGATTTGTCATCTACCAGAAAATGGAGGATGAGCATCTTCGGTTCAGAACTGGGCCGAGGGAGATGACAGCTCGAAGCAAAATATGCTTCAGCTCCGCTTTTCTCCGTGGGCTCTCCAGCTCCTGGGGAAAGGAGCCGGGCATTTGGGGACTGGGTTGCATCACAGGCGCTAGTGTGCAAGAGCCCTCGGCGTGCCCTGTGCTTGCAACAGAGGAGCACGGCACACGTTAACCTCCTGCCTGCCGTGCTGCCCAGCATGAACCAGGCATGCTCCTCAGGCACAGAAATGCCATCCAAACACCTTTTTTTCCCCCCATTTTTTCTCACCCAAAGCAGCAGCCTCCCTAAAATCCAGGCAGCACAGCGATCGAGGGGTGTGCCCTGGCGCACTGAAGTTTTGGGGATGAATTATTAATTCTGCCATCACTGACATGCCCGCGCACCCAGGTCCTGCGCTCCCCGGCTCCAGGCATGGCTGCTGGATGCCCGGCACAACCGAAACAGCCCCAAACTACCCCAAAAAAAAGCATCGTTCCCCATCTGTGGGCATGTCATCGCCGTGACACCACCGCCAGGCAGCGAGAGCCGGAGTTTGGAGCGCCGTTACCAAAGCTCCCTGCAAGAAGCTGAATCACCGAGCGCCGAGGCCTGGGCTCTGCACCCTTGGGGGGGTGTGCGCCTGCTGGGGGGGGCTCCAGACCCCCGGGGGGGGGCATGCACAGGTCCGGGTTATCCTCTGCAGCAATGCACGGCAGCGGGCCCCCCCCCCGGTGCACAAATGGGAAGCGAGGGAGGATGCGAAGCGAGGGCCCCTCCCCGGCGTGCAGGTCCCCCCTCCATGCGGCAGTGCACGGTGACAGCCCCCCCCCCCCCCAGGCCATGCGTGGGTGCAAAGCCCCCCCCCTCCTCCCCACACAAGGCTACAAAGCGGCCAGGACCCCCCCCACAAGGATGCAAAGCCATGCACACCCCCACCTGGCAAGGATGCAAAGAGGCCCGGACCCCCCCTCAAAAAAAAAAAAGCCGAAAAACGGCGGAGGATCCCCCCCTCCAAAAAAAAGCTGCAAAGTGACAGGGCCCCCCCCCCCATGCAAGGATGCAGAGCAGTACAGCCCCTCCATACAAACCTGGGGGGGGGGCACCCCCGCAATACAAGGATGGAGCCCCCCCTCCCCACCCAAAAACGCAAAGCAGCGCCCCCCCTGCAAGAAGCGCGGGGCACCCCAATAAAAACCTGCAAAGCGATGGGGGGGGGACCCCAAATCCCCCCTCCAAACGCCCCCCGGTCGCTTTCCTCCGCGCCGCCCGCTCACCTCCGCCGGCTCCGGGCTGGGGGGGACCCGGGGGGGGTCGGGGGGGGGGCTCCGGGGCTGCGGCCGCCGCCGTGCCCGGGCCGCCCCGCTCCGCTCCGCTCCGCGCCGCTCCGCAGTGCGCGCACGGCGCATGTGTCCCCCCCCCGCCGCCTCCGCCCCGCTCCGCCCCGCTCCGCACGGGCGGCCCCGGCCCCCCCCAGCCCGAGGTGATGCCCCCCCCTCTCGCCCCCTTCCAGGCAGCGTGAAACCCCCCCTCTTTTTTTTTTTTTTTTTTCTTTTTTTCCCTAGGATGAAAAAGACACCCCTTTTTTTTCCTTTTTTCCTTTTTTTTTTTCTTCCCTTTTCCCCCTTTTCCTTTTTTTTTTTTTTTTCCTTTCTTTTTTTTTTTTTTTTTCCCCCTTTATTTATTAATTTTTTAAGGGCTCAGAGTGCCCAGGCAGAAATCCTGCTGAAGGCCAGGCGAAGGATGCTGGAAGGATGCGCCCAGGAGGATGGGCAGCAGCTCGGGCACCATCTTCTCGGCTTCCCTGTGGTCACCGTGTGGCCGCCGCCTCCCTCACGCTTCCCCCTTGCCCTACAACATCCCCGCACCCTGGGCATCCCCGTGGGGCTGCCATCAGCCCCGTGCCCCCAGCAAGAAGCCCCTTGGCACCGGGCGGTGGAGCCTCGGTCCTCTCCATGCCACGTGCTGGAGCCGCCCTTGTCTGATTTTGTGTCACCCATCGGGCTGGAGGCGTGGGTGCAGGAAGCAGGGCTCGCTTCTCCTTTTGGTGTTTTGGAAGCCGTGGGGCTTCCAAATCCTGCTGCACCCCCAGCACTGGGTTGCCACCAGCTGGCGAGGCTGTGCCAGGAGGCTCTGTCCCGTCCCCTGGCATTTGGTGACATGTTTCCAGGCTTGGAGGGTGCGGGCTGCGTGCCCTGAGACCCCACACAGCTCAGCCATCTGCTCCACGCCGTGGGGACGGGCAGAGGAACGCAGCACAGTGCTCCTGTCCGCGTGTTTTGGCAGAGGGTCCAGCCAAGGGAGGCCTTTGCATACCGCCTCTGCCTTTTTCGTGCATCATGTGGGTTGTGCACGGCCCTTCCCAGGCCATTCCTGGGCTGGGGGCGGCTCAGACGGTGCCAGGAGTTGGGCTGCAGGGCATCCATGGGGCTGGCTGGGTGGGAGGATGCTCCTCTGCTCCCAAATCTGGTGTGTGTGCAGTGGTCCCGCTCTGCTCCACGGGGCAGGGCAGCCCTCCCAGCCCCACAGCCTCCTGCACTGCTGCTTTGGCTCCTTTCGGTGGCACAGGAGGTGTTGGGGTGGGCACCCAGCCACAGCACCCATAACTCCAGCTCTCTGCTGGCCCCAGCTGTGGCAGCCACGCCAAACCAGAGCCAAAAGCCAAGAGTTTTGGGTCCTGGAGGAGATCCCAGGTGCCACGCCACCACTGCACGCGCTCTCCTCCCGCACAGGTTGCTGCAAGGGGTGAGGTAATCCCGGGCAACTCCTGACTTCCATGGAAATGCCCGGAGGCCGCGATGATTATCACCGTAATTAGCCTCTCTGATTTTTTTCTTGGTGTTCTATAAAATATTAATTTCCAGCTGGATCCTCGCCTCCTTTGTGCGCCGGCCCCACACCTCTCGGTCGGCGGAGCACCTCGGGCAGCCCCCAGGGACGTCCTGCGGGGCGGCACGGCACGGCACGGCGCTGCTTTTGGAGAGGCGAGGTGCAAAAGACATGAGGCACGCACAGAAACCACCCTTCACACCTCCTCACCTGCTTGGCGAAGGCGAGTGGGCAGCCAGAGGGAACACAGCGCCGCAGTTGGGGATGCCAAAACGAAGCCCAGCACGGGGCTCGACGCCTGGAAAGCCCTCGGGGCGCTGGCTTCTCCCCGCGACAAGCCTCAGCCGCCGGCCTCCGTGTTCCAGCCTCCCTGCCAGGGGGTGACTGCTGCCTTAACGCTGCCCCGAAAATGTTTGCTCCCCCGGGAGGACCTCGTGTCGCCTTTGTCGGGCCAGATGTCACGGCTGTCGCAGCCTGGGCTGAAAGCTCAAAAGAAAAGCCTCGCCAACGCCGGGCGTGTGGGGCCGCGGCTGTGCCAGGCATGACAATGTCCCGGCTGGAGCTGGGCTTTTTGTCCGGGCACCAGAAGCTGCCAGCAATGTTTTGGCTTCGATGCTGGCTCGGGACAACCCCGCGGTGGGGCTGGAGCCCCCTGACACCACGCGGCACCCGGGGAGGTCTCAGCCTGCTGCTAACTCCTCTTCTTTTCCAAAGGCGCATCCCTCTGATACGATTCCTTGGGGTGTTTTGGTGAGACATTCCCTTCCCTGCTGCTTTTTTTTTTTTGGAGCCACCGACCCCTGCGCCCCCGCGGCTCCATTTGGCCTCCCACCAGGCTCAGCACGGTGGGCAGGACACTGAGACCACGGGTGGGGGAGAAATCCCATCGGGATGCCGTATGGGGTGTGGAAGGGCTCCCCAATTTTCCCTTGGGTTTCAGCCCCGCTCTACCGGGGGAGGGGGGCGAAGGGGCAAGCCCGGAGCCCCCCTGCGGGGCTGAGACCTGGGAGCTGGGGCTGAGAGCGTCGGCAGGGGGCAGTGGAAGATGCTCCCATCCTGCCGCTGCCGAGCCGGGGATCCGGGGAGGAGACTGCGGCGGAGGAAGGGGAATAAATCTGCAATTCCTCCGGCGGCGGGGCCGGGTGGCGCTGCTGGGGGCGCGATCCCGCCGCGCTGGAGGAAAATCGGGGGCGTCAATGAGAAAGAAAAATCCCCTGCGTAAAAACAGGGCGGCGTGTGGGGATTGAGGGGCGCACAGCCAAAGAGCCGCCGGCTTTTTGGGGACCCCCCCCCAACCCCTCGAGGCCGCCCCGTATCTCCCAGCCCCCTGAGCAGCCTTCACCTGCCGGGCGAGGGGCTCCCCCCCGGATCCTTTATTCCTCTCCCACCACCCCAAAAAAAATAATAACAAACAAAACCCCACAACACAACAGCCTCCCGGTGCTGCCCCACTTCAGGGGAGGGCTGGGGGGCGGCGCTGGCGGGGGCCCGCCCCGGGGCTGTGCCCGCCGCAGGATGCGGTGGCGGCGGCGCTGGGCGATGCGGGGCGGCGGCGGGACCCGGGGCCACCCCTGAACCCCTCGGGGACCCCGGCCGGGGAGGGCTGGGGGGGTTTTGGGGTGGGCCGGGGGGGCAGAAAGGGCCGGGCGGGGGGGGGCGCGAGGGGAGATTGAGAGGGGCGGGGGGGGGAGCGCAGGTAGGGGCCGGGGTTGGGGCGATGGAGGAGGAGGAGGAGGATGGAGGCGGCGGAGGAGGGGAGGCGGGGAGGGAGGCTGCGGCAGGAGGGGGCGGGCGGGGGGGCCGGCCGGGGGGGCCGGCGGGCATTTGGGACCGGCTGCGGGGCAGGCGGGCGGCGGGCGGCGGCCGGAGCGCGGCCGCGATGGCGCAGAGAGGGGCGGCGGGAGGAGAGGGGGAACCGGGCACCGGCACCGGGAACGGCACCGGCAGCGGGGAAGGGAACGGGAACGGCACCGGGAATAGGACCGGGAATGGGAACGGCAACGGGAACGGGGCCGGGAGCGGGGCCGCCGCGCCCTTCCAGCCCCCCGAGGGCGGCTTCGGCTGGGTCGTGGTCTTCGCCGCCGCTTGGTGCAACGGCTCCATCTTCGGCATCCACAACTCCTTCGGGATCATCTACACCATGCTGCAGAGCGACCTGGGCGAGGGCGAGAACGACCCCGCGCTGGAGTTTAAAACAGGTACGGGACCCCCTGCCCGACCCCCTGCCCGACCCCTTTCCCGACCCCTTTCCCATCCCGGCCCCCCCCGGAGCCTCGGCTGGAGGCATTGAACTGTGCTTGCTCCCTGCCCCCGCCATCCCTGCCCTCCTTGCTATATTTATCTCCGGCACTGTCATGTGTTTCTAAGCTACTACGCACTCAATTCAAAGTAATTCATCCGAAAAGCGTGCCCGCACCCCGGCCCGCCCGCCCCACGTTTTGGGGTGAGGAGCAGGCGGCGTGTGCCGCCCGCCCGCTCGTTGGGTTTGCCTCTTGCTTCTCGGTGTGGGTTTTCTGGGCTGCCTGCCTGCCCTATCTCCGGGATCGGGATCGGGATCGGGGTGGGAGAGCATCTGCCCGGCAGCCACGCTTCCTCGAAGCCGCGGCCACCCGCTGCGTGCGGGTCCCGAAGCGCTGCCACGGGGCCTCGTCCCCAAACGGTGCCTTTTGGGGGGACCAGAAACCAGCTGGTGTTACCGCTGTGCACGGGGATGTGTCTCATTTTGGTGTCTCTGCTGCTCGAGTGGGGTTGGCAGAGGGACCCCGGCTGCAGGGTGGCAGGCCAGGGGTCCCCGAGGGGCCACCTGCCTCGTCCCGGGGCTCGGCATCCTCCAGGAGCAGGTCACCTCCGTCCCCGTGCTGGGCACCCTGGCCCAGCTCCCTGGGTAGGGACAAGTGCTCGTGGTTTTGCCATCACTCTGGATGAGGCTAGGGCTATCCAGGGGATGTCAAGGGGCTCAAACTTGAATTTTGGGCACCCCTGTTGCCCATGCCGCCCCGCGCACCGGTGACCCCAGCTTTGGGCGCACAAGGAGGAAAGCAACGCTGGGCTGCACCCGGGGATGCAGAATTAACCCTGGGGATGCAGAATTAACCCCGGGGATGCAGAATTAACCCCGTGGGGCTGTTACCAGAGAGCCGACGGGCAGCGGCGGTGTGGCAGGGAGCTGGGAACGTGTGGACGATTGTAATTCCCGTGATTGATGCCCGTGTGTGTGTGTGTGCCTGCGCCTTGTGCGTGCCATCCCCGGGAAGCTCATCGCGCAGCGCGCCGTTTCCTGCTCCCCGTGATCCTATCTGGAGAGCCTGAGGCAGGGAGCTGCAGAAGTTGGAACAAAAGAGATGAAATACTGCGAGCTCTGGTGGTTTCCCAGCTGCGTGCCCAAGACGGGGTTCGGAGGAGACAGCATCTGCCTCCTGCTCCCGAGATCTATTTATTTATGGCTATGACCGCACGGAGGCCTCGAAAAAGAAAGGCGTGTGGGCGTGCGAGGTGAACCCAGGCTCGGTAATTAAATTGCCTGGGTGACGAATATGCATTCAGGTCTGGGCGCCTAACGAAGAGGCCGCTGATAACCTCGGTGCGGCGGGGTCTGCGCAGGGCCGGCGGGTCCCACCTCGTCGTGCCGCGGGTTTCGGGGTAAATCCGTGGGGCTGGGGGGTCCGTGGGGGTTGGGGGGCACGGAGCAGGGCCCCCCGAGCCCTTCCTTCCCCCTGCCGCTGTCCCTCCCTGCACAGGGTTGCATAATTTCCCCGCGGCGGTCGTTTGCGTGCAAACATAATCAGGAAAAGTGTTGGAGCTCCTTTCCAAGCACCGGAGTGATACGGCCTTCCTGAAAAGACCGGTGCTGTCTGTCTGCCTGTCTGTCTGTCTGTCTGTTCCCCAGCATCCATCTGCTCCCGATGGCTGCGAGCGGTGGGTGGCCGAGCTCCAGGGTCCCCCTTTGTCCCCCGCAGAACCGGGGGACGCGATGGGGACCCGCCGGCCCCATCCCGCCCCGACACCCAGCACGGCCCCGAGCGCCTCGCTTTGTCCTTCAGCCCCCCGGGGGCTGCATCCCCAGAGCCCCCCTCTGCTCCCAAGCGGGTGGGTTTGTGCCCAAGAGGGAGCTGAGGGAGAGCCCCGCCGCCGGCCAGCCAGCATCCCTTTAAAAATAGGGTTATGTTTATGCTGAAGCGGGTACTAGTCTGAACCAAACAATAGCCGCCCCAGCGCACGGCTATAATTATCAAGGTTTATTCCTTGTTTGCATTGGTCACGTTTTCTCGCGTTTGATCTTGAGAGACGCAGGATCCACGGAGTTCAGGTTTGGGGTCAGGCTGTGCAAACAAACCCTCTCCCAACAATGCATTGAATGCATACGCTGCTTTGTTTGAAGGAATATAACCGCGAGGTGGCTGTAAACACGCGGCCGCCGCGACCACCGCCGTGCCCCCTCGCAGCGTGAAGCCCCAGCCGGGACTTTCGCAAGGCACACTCTGTGCTTTCGGCTTTGTTTTCCTTTTGGGGGGAGGCAGAGGGCTCGCTGACACCGGGATTGAAAACCAACACAACAACAACCTTGCACACGAGCCAGGAAAAAGCCCGTTCTCCTCTGCGGAGAGGTGCTGGGTGATGTCTGAGGGCGTTCGCTGGGTGCCCTGCGGTGCTCGCCGGCCCCAGCCCGGGCACTGAAGGCACCAAGGCAGCTTTAGGGTCTGGAGAGGATTACACTGATTTATATATTTTTTCCACCCGCTAATTTTGGGGCCAGGCACCTGAGATAGGATCACGCGGGTTTATATTTTTTTCCCCCGCTAACATTGTCATCGATCTCCTTTTTCTCCCCTCCTCCGCGTCGTGTCAATACCCGAGCTACAGATTAACTCCCCCTTTTTTGCTTAATCTTTCGGGCTCCGATTGCTCAAAATGGGAGCTGCGGGCGCTCGGAGGAGCTGCTCGGGCTCGGCCGCAGCCCCTGCGCGTGCGGCTGTGCGTCCTGCAGCCTCCTCCTCCTGCCCGTGCGTGCGTGGGGACGGGGGGAGCAGCTTTCCCCCCCTTTAGCCCGGCCCCAGCCGGGGAGCGCAGGCTGCCGGAGCCCTCGGCTCCTCGGTCTCGCCGATGCCAGCCAGGTTTGGCCGGGTGTCATCTTCGTTACCCGGCTTCCCAACCGGTTTCACGGGGAATTGCTTGGGGGACGCCCCGCTTTGTGTCCCCAGGGGGGGCGAGCCCGGCTGGCAGGGGCTGGTTTGAAGCCGTAGCGGAGCGAGGAGGCTCGGTGAGAAGGCGTGAGCTCGTTTCGCGACAAAATAAAGCTGAAATAAGGAGGGAGCAGGAGGAGGAACCAGCACGGCCTCCTCTGGGGCTCCAGGAGCCCCGGGGCCAGCGAGCGCTGCTGGAGCCGCCTCCACGAGGGAAACCCCGGGGAGAGTAAATCACAGGAGGTAGCTCTTGGAAGCGGTCCTAATTAATTTTAGCAGTGCTCCGCAGCCTGGAGGAGGCTGGATGGGAGCGGCCGCCACCGAAGTGCACTTTATTTAGCCCGCTGCTGCAGAAGGCATCTTCCCCAGGTGTTTGCTCCGGGCTTTGGGGTCGGGGCCGGCAGCCTTACCCGTGCTTACACACTGGGAAATGCGTCTGAGATGGGTGCTGGCTCCTGGGAGGGCTCCTGAAGGGCTCACTTGGGCTGTCGCCTCCTTACCCAAATCTGCACGATTTGGCACTTTTATTATTAACTGTTGGCGGCCGTCACTTGCCACACACACCCAGAACATGCTGGGGGCTTCCCGAGTCTCCAGACCTCACCCGTGGCCTCCAAACCTCACCCGGGTCTCCAAACCTCACCCAGGTCTCCAAACCTCACCCTCATCCTCCAGCAGCCAGCCGAGGGAGTTCTCCAGTCTCTGTTGTGCTCCTGTAACTCATGGACACTGATATGGGCCCATCGAGCCCCCTTTTTCCCCAGGCTGAGCATCCCGGTAGGAGAGGTGCTCCTGGCCCCCCACTTGGTGCGAAGGAGACCACCAGAGCTGGTGGGGATGAAACGGGGGCTGCCGGACCCCTCCTGGGCCCCTCAGGGTGCTTGGGACGAAGGGCGAGCCTGGATTTCCACCCGGCTGTGCCGGGGGAGCGCCTGGAGGGCGGTTTTGTGACCTGCAGCAGCCAAGGGGAAATTCCTGCAGGGGCACGGGGGGCAGCAGCTAACGGGGAGCTAATCCCAGAGGGAGCCGCAGCAGCCGGGGCTGTTTGTTTCAGGGGATTGGGATCCGTCAGCACCAGGCGCCGGGTAACCTTTTGCTTTTTTTTTTTTTTTTTTTGTCTCCTCCGGGTGACTCCTCGGGAGCTCTGCCAAAGCGGGTGCTCGGCTAATGTCAGCGGCTCGAGTGTCAGGCGGCCGGGGAGGAGGCGATGCGCAGGGCCGGGGTGGGTGCTGGGGGGCACAGGGTCTCACCACGACCCCATGGGGGGGCTCCCAAAGCGGTGTCCCCCAGGAACCAGCGTGCCCAGAGGGGTTTCTCCCGGAGCCGAGTGCTCCGGCAGCCACGTGCTGCTGCAACACCTGCAGCCGAGCTGCCCCCACCGTGGCATTCGCTGCTTGCTGCTCTTTTCTCCTCCTCTTCCTCGAAGGATTGATCACTCCCCGCTCCCGGGGAAGGCGATGCTGCTCTTGGCACCTCTCCCTGCCCAGCGGGGCATGCGCTGGGCTGGGCATCGCCGGCGGGCAGCGGCACCGCGGCAGCAGCTCGGTTCACGCCGGGCTATTTCCGTGCATCCACCCCAAAGGCAGTCGGGGCGGTTGCAAAACGCCCGTGACGTGTGCCCGGCATTGCTGCAACACGCTTTTCGTGTGCGAGCGCTTCGGGATCGCTTCTTCTTCCCCCGGCGCCTCGCACAACTGGTCCTGCCGGTGCCGGGCACGGACCGCGGGCAGCAGCTCCCCGCGGAGCACCTGGCTCGTCGTCAGGCCTCTGGGTTTTTGGGGTTTAACCCATAGACCCCCCCCACGCGTGATTTAGGGGTGAAGCCTCACCGTGCGCCCTCCCTTTGCAGGACACCTTCAGGTCGTGGTTGTTTTTGGGCGAGAGTTTTACCCCGCCGGGGCTCGTTTTGGGCAGCAGCCACCCGGGCGGGCACGGGAGTAGCAGAGGATGGCACCGTGATGCTCTGGTGGCCATCAGAGCGGCTCCTGGCACCGTGTCCCAGCGTGGACACCTCACCG